AATCTCTAGGCTTTTTTTGAGGCTGGTGCTATTTATTGCCGAGGGTAGAAAAAATCCCTGGTAGGGATTGAAAAAATCTGCGGGGTTAAAAAAAATCCCGCCCGGGGGTGGAAAAAACAATCCCGCCTGGATCGTGCACCAATATGCCGGGGGTTAAAGCAAACCGTACGGTTTTTCGAGCCCTGGGCGGGTTGAATAACAACCAAAATGATCTCAAAATCCCGTTCGGAGGTGGGGTTGACAAAAAAACCTTCCCGGGGGTCAAAAAAAACTCAGCCCAAACACGTTTCTTACGCGCGCAAGTTGCAGTTGCTGCGCGTGCGTGTGTCTCTCTTAAGTTGAGGGCCGTGATGATCCATACGCCGATTCGACTTGTTGAAAGATGCCACCTGACGGACAAGATCTATCCAACCGAAGTGTTAAAATGGTGTTTCTCTTGTCTGAGATGCCGCAGCTTTAAACACTCCCACTTAAGCCTTGCTTTCAAATCAAAAGGTCTTCGGTCTGGTTGGCAGGTACTTTGACGGGCCCCACCAAGTAAGTCTCTTGCAAGTTTATTTCCCTGTTTGGCTCTACATCGTGCATTTCCAGTGGCGGCCAGATTCCACTAACTCTTTGAGCGACCTTGTCAGCACGAAGGCCCGTAGGGTCGAAACATCAGGGTTTCCGCAAGAGTGGGGCAGAAACACATGCTCGTTAAGAAGCTTGTTCCGGGTTTCGTCTTAGCAGCGCAGCTGCAGTACAGACACTCTTGCCTGCTGTAAGTATGCCCACGATGGCGGCACACAAAAGCTCATTATTAAGACCGTCATTGCATGGATGACCACTTTACGGCGGTTCATGTTCGGCCAAAAAGACCGCTGCCATTTGGGCTACCACCTTGCAACGCTCATGGGACCACCCTGCCGTTGGAGCTCTCTCACGTGCCACTCAGCCTGAAATGAATCGGCGCATTGTTGAATTGGAGTGGACTTGTTGTCCGGAAGCGAGATCTACTGTAGCGGTTGCCCTGAGGTGCAACCCTTCAGACCCCTTGAAGCCCCCCTTGAAGTCTCCCTTGAAGCCCCCCTTCAAGCTCCCCTTCAAGCCTCCCTGCAAGTCCCCTTCAAGCCCCTCTTGAAGCCTTCGACCCTTCATTCCCCCCCTGCCAGGTGTCTGGCCAGTATCCATGGTCTTCTCAGTACAACTCGCATCATCAGTGATTCAATGCGCTGCACTTGTTGTTCTTGAAAGTAAAAAAGCGCCCTAACATAGAAACCACAGCTGTGCGTGTAGCTGCTAAAGAAAAGGGCTCTTTGCGGACACGAGCAGTGTAGAGCAAATGCAGACTTAGCGTTTGGTTATCGATAGTAGCGCTTTCTGTCCTGTTAGGTCAAGCCAGCCAGCACGTTTAAGGCGGCTGGTGGCGATTTCCATCTGGTTTGCGTAGGCCCGCTGCAGCGCAGCATCTTCAAAGGGAGGCTGAGTAATTATACCTCCGTCAAGGTCGATGCACAAATCTCCATCATCCTTGGGGTATTATCTCTTAAGGTCAATTCTCTTGGCTCTATAGGGGAGGGATGGGGTAAACTTGCGCGATCGCGCTATGGTGTTGAGCTGAGCCCCTGCTGGGAGAGAACAGTGACAATCTTGTTGCCAACCTGGACTCTTGCTGAGGTATGCAACACCAGGCAGTCATCGCAGATGGCCTGATGGAGATAGCTTTGAGGGTAATGCAGGACAGATCCGGCATGATGTCTGCCGCAGCTCCTGCAGTGCGCAGATCCAGTTGCGAGCTGCTTGTACACAAAGTAGTCATCGGTCTCTTCCCCCGTGAGCCAACGCAAGACATACAGTCTGTTGGCCGACGAGACGTGTTTCTTATCAAGCTTCGGCATGGCCGCGATGAGACGGTGCGCGAAGTGTGGGTAAAGCAGGTTGGTGAGTTTTTGGCCGATATACGTTCGAGCTTCTTGAACAGCTGCCTTCTTAAGTCCCTCCTTTACAGTATTGAGGAGGTGGTGCACAGCCCGGTTCCATTCCTTAAGGCTGTGCTGCTGCCTTACTCAGCAGTGGCAAGAGCACTAGTCACTAAGCTGGGACTGGTAGCACAGCACTAACCAGTGTTTGCGACCTCAGGCTTCACCTAAAGGCTCTATGACTCTCTTTCAGTGCCCATGCAGGCCTAGCAGGAGGCTCAGATTCTCTTGGGTTCTCTCTTAGACCCAGAGTTTGTTCTGCCAGAGAGAGCCAACTCAGCAATGCAGCCTGAGGGCTCCAACCTCTGCGGTTGGTATTGNNCTATGCTGAGCAGGAAGTGAGGCTGCTGAGGAAGGAGTGGCTGAGAATGCATGCCTCAAGACAGGCTGCTCAAATTCAGCACTCACTTGCAGAAGGAGCTGGGCCTCAGGGAGAAAGACCTAGCCACCATGGCTGAGAAGCTGGCAGCTCGTACTGAGGCTGAGAAGAGGGCTGAGATCAACAACAAAGCCTTAGAGGCAATGAAAGACCTGAGCTCAGCAGCTGCCAAGACAGCTCCGCAGGTTCTGACAAAGAACACTCGCAGGTTCACCTGGCAGGATCTCAGCAAGGAAGCCCTGGGCAAGATTGCTGCCTTAGAACACTCACCTAAGGTCTGTTCCAGGTGCAGGTGGCAGTCCAGCTGTCTCAGCTGCGACCCCTGCAAAACTCTCAGGTACTGGGTAGCCTCAGAAGCCAGAGATAAGAAGAAGATTCCTTCAGTGGCAGGCCTTGTGAGAGACCTTGTGCTGCAGAGGGTTTAGGGTTTAGGAGTTACTTAGAATCTGCTGTCCCTGCAGGACCTGAGGAGCTAAAGGAGGCCTACGACAAAGCAAACGAAACCTGAGATTTTCTCAGGTCTTTTAAGCATTTTTTGTACTTGAGACAGCAGCTCTCAGGTTGTGCCTTAGGCACAGACAGAGCAGGATCACTTCTCTAAGAGAAAAAGCTGAGTCATGCAAGCTGTTTTTGCTGAGCTTTTTTGAGGTAAAACTAAACGAACATAGTCAATAACTTTTGCTGTTTTTTTGTTTTAATTATGGGCCCCAGAGAATTTTATTATTCCGGACCCCTGAAACAATACCAGATCCTGAATAATTTCCCCGAAAAATTTTATCATTGCGGCCCCCCGATGCTAAAGGGGGTCCAACATTACCGGGTTGTCAAAATGCTATAAGTGTTCATTGCAACCTTTTGCGATCTGCGCTGACGGTGCTTGTAGTATCCACCACAGATCACCAAAGACTTGGGTGAGGTGTAGAATCAGTGTACAAAACCCGCTGCCTTGGTGATTGCAACTGTCATCCCTAAACCCTAAGCCGTAAGCCCTAGCTCGCATGCCCACGACTGAGGACTGCCACCCAGCAGGCCACTAATTGCCTTTTTCCTTCATGACCGAGATGTTTGAGGACAACTCTCAACAATCATCATGTCAAGCAATCGCCCAAACATGTGTACTGAGGTGTTATTTTTGTTCAAGTGCGCGCGGCTCGTATCGCGTCAGGGGTCCAAGGATACCGGGGCCTGAGGCGCAGGCTGCATTGCTAGGGAGCAAGTATGAGCCACTGACAAACTCAAGTGTTCAACTGGGATCCAATCGGGCGCACAAGGTTTCTAATAGAAAAGTACACGCATGGTGCTTGTGGTGGGCAGCGTCTTGGATCTAGGTACGAATTTTCGGCGGCGCAAACGTTTGCGCGGGCCCGACAATTTTCCTGCAGTTGCAAAGGCCTAGCGCAGTGAGTGCGCAGATGGAACTGCAGCCTCAGAAAAGTTTCGTCGCCGTTCTGTTTACCGGTGTATCGGTGTCCTTATGGATATGGTGGCGAAGGCGATGTTTGCGCCGGCCACCTGGCGGTATTTGGTCCTTGCCAGTGCTTGGCGAGACTCTGAGCTATGTGCGAGATCCGCTTGGCTTCATGGAGGAGGGGAGTCTGGAAACGTTTCCTCTCACATCTTTGGACAGGATGCACCACATAGTATTGCAGCATTCGGAAAAAGGACCCCTAGCAAGGACATCCCATTTCCACAGGCAAGTGATATGCACCCTTGTTATACTCTTCACATGCATGAAAAGCCCCCATTCTATGCAGTCTTCTTCCGTGGCTCTGCTCTTGTCAGGCCAAGCTTTCGAAATATGGGGGCACTTGCAGATCACACTTGCTGTTTGCTCCTACTGTAATTTTGGCGGTCACAGATGAGAATGCCAAGCTCATTCTTTCCGAAAAGGATTTAGCATGGCCTGCATATTTCCAGAAACTGGTTGGCCCTACCTCCTTGCCTATGGCGGCTTGGCTGCTTAAGGCCTGGGTGGGTTGTTTGGAATTTCCATGAAACTAGAACACCTGAGGATCCTATGGTGTGTAGAGCTTTCTTACACTTGGGAGCGGCAGCAGCTAGAAGTTAAACCCTAAGCTCCCTGAACCCTAAACCCTAAAACATTTTGGGCAGCCAAGGTGAATGATCCCCTGCACAAGAGGATTCGGACCTTGAACTCCCGGGCTTTCGGGGACAGGCAGTTGGATTCCTACTTGCCCTGTCTTCAAAGGCTGTCCTCGAAACACTTGCAGCTCTGGGCTGAAGATGTAGACCAGGTGGCCAAGGATCTACACATGGAAGTCAAAAAGTATGCCTTCGAGTGTGGAGAAGCTGTGATTCTGGGAGTGGAGAACGACCCGCTCAAAACGGCACGTCTCATGCAGCTGTACGAGGAGGTGTTCAAAGGTCTTGGGTATATTTTACCTGTGGACCTCCCGGGCTTTCCATTCCACAAGTGCATGAGGTCACGGAAGCTGCTGGTGCAGGAGTTCCAAACCCTGATTGAAAAGAAACGCAAAAAGCTGAAAGATCCATGTCGAATGTTCCAGGTCAACACGATGCTGGATACAATGTTGCAGCTTGATTCACCAGCAATTGTTGCAATGCAGCAAGATCTTTCTAGGAGCGGCACTAGAAGGCAACCGCTCCAACGGTGCCAGAAAGTGAAACAGCCTCACCCTAAGCCCTAAATAGTAGTTTCCATTTTATTTTCCATTATCCCAGTATCAAAAATTATAACCTCAAAATAGCCCTAATACTACCCCAGGGGGTACCTATATCCCCTAAAGCTGACAAATCTAAGGCAGGCCGAGGGAATGAACAGCGAGGAGGAGCTCTCGGATTTCTGTGTTGCGATGATGTTTGCCGGGCATGACACCACACTCTGCTCCATCCAGAGCTGCCTGCATTGGCTGAAGGCATGCCCCGAAGTGGAGACGGTGTTGCGCCAGGCAGGCATATTTGATATTGACCTACATGGCGTAAGTTTTGGATTTCGCTTGGTTCCAAAGATGTTTTCTTGCTTTAATTGATTCATGATACCTAGCATCACCTAGCATTTTCTCAATCTCAACCCATCCAGGCTTGTGAGGGTGAGAGCCTTGAATGAAGATGGCGCACGTGCACATCAGGTGCATCTGCAACCAAACTGTTGCTATTTCCAACTTAGCGACCTGAGCAACGAGCCAAAGGCACAAATTGTGCACCCCAAGGCCCCAAGATTTGGCACCTACGACTTTTGTGGTGTTCTTGTGAAGTATGAGCATGAACAGGAAGTGCGCGCATGTTGGGACGGCGAGTCCCGGATCACGCGAGGCCTCCTGGACTCTCTGCCCCAGACACGTGCCTTCCTCCAGGAAGCTTGCTCCAGGGACAAGATATTGTTAACCAACATGTTTTTCAGAGGTTAGGGTCTTCAGATCTCAGAATTTACAGGGTCTCGGATGTGGGTTGTCACGTGGGAGGGGATGCCTGTGATCGTCCTGACAGAATCCCGACAATAAACCCTTCAACCCTTACCCCCGGCTCCCAGCTAATCCTAATATAACCCCAATACAACCCCAATATAGCCCCAACAGAACCCCAATATAATCCCAATATAACCCCGATATAACCCCAATATAACCCTCATACGGCCCTCATATAACCCTTCTTCTAGGAAGTCTGGCGGATGACTCCACCGGTGCAGGTGATGGTTTCTTGGCTGGCTTCGGGTTATGGCTTGTAGAATGACATTCATTGTTTAGGATCAACTGAGCTATAGTCTGAACTCCTCAAAGGAGGTTATATAGGGGATTCTTTCGGGGACTACTATAGGGGCTATTGAGGGGGATACTAGGAATTTAGATTACAGCTCAAATTTGAATGATCTTTTCCGAATTCCTCCAATTCCTACTAACTACTAAACCAGTAAGTCAATCTTGTTCTTACTCCAGTTTTTAAGATCAGAGAGGGTGGCTAAGAGTCCCAGGGGGATGCTAAACTTAGTCAAAGCCAAACTGGGTTGTCTTCAACAGCTTTTTGATCTTTGAATCCCATGCAGACAAAGAAAGGCCATGATTCGATAACCCTAAACCCTAAACCCTAGACCCTACATAGTAGTTTCCATTTCATTTTCCATTATCCCAATATAACCCCAAGTATTTTTCACCCCTATATAACCCCTATATAATCCCTATCATCCCTATAGTTTCCAATTTATTTTCCATTATCCCACTATAACCCCTATCCCTAAGCCCCAGCAATTTCCAAGGTACGGGCCCTGAGCAAGGACACCGAGGTGCTGAAGTTCCAAGAAGACGAATCTTTTGCATTTTCTCTGGCTAGATGCCCCTCTTTGATATGAGCCAGAATCCAAATTCCTTATAGGGGATTATATAGGAGATTATATAGGGGACAACTGGAGGGGCTTATTAAGGGGGACAAAAGGATTTTAGAATATGGCCCTAGTATGGCTCATATCCCAGTTACAAGAACTTGGCAAGCTTCCTTCTCATGTGGCAGGTGGATGGCTTTTTGATACCGAAAGGGTGGACCCTAAACTTTGCGCCAGCTGGACGTCACAGCAAGGTAGAGGACAGCCACTATAGTAATGGGTTATATGGGGGATTATAGGGTATATATTGGGGTTATATAGGGGTTATATAGGGATAATGGAAAAGAACATGGAAACGACTATTTGGGATATCTGGAGGACAGCCAGAGATTTTCCGTCCAGCGGCATCTGCGCGACGGGAAGTTTGTTGACAGCACTTTTGATCCTACTTCCTTCGCTTCCTTCGGCGGGGGCAGTAGGATGTGCATCGGAGGCTCGCTTCGGACTATTCATCGCCGGTTACCCTTTTTGAGGCCGAGACATCTAAAAATATGTATAACAAACCACGTTCGGGGCAACTCTCAAGAGGGCTTTCTTGGCACTTGGCGACTAGACATTATAAAGCACACTTGGGAACCTATCAACCCAAGTCTAACCTCGTCAGTAGGGTTTAGGGTTTAGGGTTTAGGGGCAGAGATCTGAGGATACAAGTTTGCGCGGGACGAGATGTTGGTCTTTCTCCTGCACTTCCTTCACGACTATGATGTGGGAGTTTCTGGAAAACTTCCTGTAGATCCTTAAGTGGAACCCTAAACTCTCCCCTGCAGCACCTCTATATATCTCTCAAAGCCCATCAAGGTCTTGCTGGTAATCAGTCAGGAATAAGGACCCTAAACCCTAAACCCTAAACCCTAAACCCTGTAATATACCATAATAAACTATAATAAAGTAGTTTCCATTGTATTTTCCATTATCCCCAATATTTTGGGAAACCATAAGGGCCCTGAACCCTAAACCC